CAGGTTCAGGAAATCTTATCATACCACCAACATCAAGTTTTAACAATGGTTAAAGTGTTATATAGTCCTCAATGCCACTGCATCCACATGGAGAGAATTAAGCAGTGGTGTGCCACAAGGTTCCGTCTTAGGCCCAGTACTCTTCAATATCTTCATAAATGACTTAGATGAGAGAACTGAAGGGGAACTCATCAAATTGCAGATGATGGCAAACTGACAGGAGTAACCAGCACCCCAGAAAACAAACTCAGGATCCAAACAGATCTAGACAAACCTAAACAATGGGCCCTATCCAACAAAATGAGTTTCAATGTGGAGAAAAGCAAAGTTTTACATTTAGGCAGGAAAATTCAAAGGTACAAGTACAGACTGGGCGAGACCTGGCTCAAAAACAGTAACTGTGAGAGGGACCTTGGAGTCCTAGTGGACGATCACTTGACCATGAGCCAGCAGTGTGCAGAAGCAGCCAAAAAAGCTAATACAATCCTGGGTTGTATAAACAGAGGCATAGAATCAAGATCACGCAAATTATTAGTACCGCTTTATAAAATCCTAGTAAGACTACACCTGGAACACTGCAGTCAATTTTGATCATCATATCACAAAAAAGATGTTGAGAGTTTGGAAAAAATTCAGAGAAGAGCAACTAAGAAGATCAAAGGCTTGGAGACTAAAACATGCGATGAACGAAGAACGGCTGGGGGACTTGGGTTTGGCTAGTCTAAAGAAAAGAAGAAATAGGGGAGACATGATAGCAGTATTTCAGTATCTGAGGGGCTGCCACAAGGAAGAGGGGGTCATGTTGTTCACCAGAGGGAAGGACGAGAAACAATGTTTGGAAACTGATCAAAGAGAGAAGCAACCTGGAATTAAGGAGAAATTTCCTGACAGTGAGGACAATTGACCAGTGGAACAGCTTGTCTCCATCACTGGAGATTTTTAAGAAGAGACTAGACAATCACCTGTCTGAGATGGTATAGGTTCTCCTGCTTGAGCAGGGGGCTGGACTAGAAGACCTCCAAGGTCCCTTCTATTCTATTCTATTCTATTCTATTCTATTCTATTCTTACCTAGATACTAAAATTCCAGGCCATAAGCCAGGAGGGACAAGGTGAGATCCTAGCCCCAAACACCATTTTTGCTGCCCTGTCAAAACGTGATTACTAAATATTGCAATTAATGACACAGCCTTGCCCGTGCCAACCTTCACTCCTTTAAGGATTTGATTATTACTGCCTGAGTGCTGTGGGTATATGAGAAACTATATAAATGGGCTATAAACAAATAAAATGTGCCATCACCACCCTCACCTCCAAAAGGCTGTCTATCATTATTATAAACAAATACTAATAAACTGTAATTTTTATACAGGGTTTATATATTACATTAAGCCAATATCAAATAAACCATACTACAGTTTAGCATGGTATATAAACTCTGATAATATCTGTACTCAAAGGAATCATGATATACTCAGTTTTAGACATCATTAAGTGTTCAATTTCTATACTACCATACTACCATCTACTAGGGATTCCTGGTTGTTCATTAAAAAATCAATATAAAACTAAAATATGGGATATATAATTTTTAAAAATTTAGGGAAAATATTGAAAATCTAAAGTATTCCCTTTTGTAAGTACGATATAAGAGAACTAGCAAAAATTTAGAATACGTACATTTCACTATATTTGAAAAGATTTTCAACTGTATTTCATGCTACTCTGATTTAAGATAAGGTGCACTGATTCCTTTAATTACTGTCTCCTGTTCTACCTACCCACTCAATTGCCCGATCCCTTAGCTCCATGCATCAACATAAACATTCAAGCCAACTTAATAAATAGGATTTCTGAGTGGCATGTTTGTACAACACTACGATGCTCTGGAGATTACAGAGATTGAAGTGATGCAATACTAAGTGGTTATGCAACAAGAAAGCATACATATCTATTTTACCAGCAATTTGCATTATTTTGACAATAGCCCTATAGCCCAATAGTCCAGAAGACAATATCTTCTGTGATGACCATGTCCATTACAGAGAAAGCACCTGAGGGATATGCATATGGTTACGCAGATTTTTTTTATATTTTTTATCCTGAAATAGCACACCCTAAAAATAGCAGATTAAATTAAGATAAGAGAGAGAAGATTTGTTTTTTTTTTCAGGGTTAGAATCATAGGGCTGGAAGGAGCTTAGATGTCTTCTAATCCAACCACCTGCCCAAGACAGGAGTCTTTATACCATTCTGGACAAATGGTCGTCCAATCTTTTCTTGAAAACCGCCAGCAATGGAGCTCCCACAATTCCAGCTGTTCCATTGACTAATTGTTCTGTCAGAAAGTTTCTGACAGGTTAGATCTCCCTCTGAGTAGCTTCAAACCATCGCTTCTTGTTCTGCCCTCAGATACTTTGGAGAATAAATTGGCCGCCTCTTCTCTGTGGCAGCCGTTCAAGTATTGGAAGATGTTTATCGTGTCACCCTAAGCCTTCTCTTTGTTAAGCTAAACTTGCCTAGTTTCCTTAGCAGTTCATCCTATAGTTTAGCCTCCAGATCTCTTATCATCTTCATTGCTCTTCTCTAACTCTTTCTAGGGCTTCACAATCTTTTTTTGTATCATGGTGACCAGAACTGGAACCAGTATTCCAGGTGTGGTTTTGCTAGTGCAATGTAGAGTGACGCTATCGCTTCTTGTGTTTTTGATACTATCTATCTGTTGATACAGCATATGACTGCATTGGCTTAATTGGTTAACTGCATTGGTTAAACAACTACTGAACACAGAGTTAGTTCTAGTTCAATCTGGCCATATCTCAATTCAAGACTGAATCTCAATTAAATATCAAGAAAACCATGTCATAAAGCAAAAGATGGACATTGATCCAAGATCCATAAACCCCCACAGTAAAAATAACTCTGATTCATTATAATTCTTGGTACCTGGGAGAATAGGGAGGAGACCAATCCCAAGACGAAGGGAGGGCAACAGTATTCATAAACTACCTTGGGAATGCTCACTTCAAAATAAGAAGCCTAATTGCTATTGTTTATGACACAATTAGCATATCAACAAGTTTAATCAGTGAAATGCAGAACATACATGAAGAAATCTATGATCCCTTAAGTAAGCTACCTTTTTTTTTATTTTCCCACTTATTTTCTTCATATAAGGAGAAGCATAAGTATCTTCTCGAAAACTTTTCTTGACAATGTCCAAATTACAGTTGTTCCTCTCCACACAATATAGTACTATAAATAATATCATATACTATAAACAGAATCTTCAATTATAAATGCATACAACTTTCAAATGCATACAAAGACAAAATAACCAGAAACTAATAAAACATAGAGTTAAAAAACTTCTTTAGAAGCTCAAGTCTGCAATATATAAGTCAAATGTCAGGTAATGTTTATGTTAAATCACCATGAGTTTAAACAGATTGGAAAACAGATTCATTTATTATGCATACACTATTATTGAATATTTATATACATATCCAACAATACAAACTTGTTCTGGTAATTTATTATCAGACTTCTTTAAGGTAACTTGTTACCTTGCAACCTCCTAGAGATGCTCTATTAATTGGAAATGAATCTCTGAATTCTTGAATCTGAAAGCAGAATGCAGAATCTTCTATTCATTAAAATATTACAAATAGTATCAGATTTATCCTTGTGTTTACTAAAGTCCATTAGACTCTAAAGATCTGAGGAAGTCTTTAAAGTATTTCATTTACTGACCAATTTCTTTTATAATTTTCTACCCACATTGTATCTGATTTTGTTCAGTCTTATGATACTCATAAAGATAGCAAGAAAAATTATGCTGCAGTTTTTGCAGCCAAGATTGCACATATTGATTGCACTATATGTGGATTTTTTTCTGAGAAGTGTTGTTCCATTTTGCTTCTTTCCTCTTCTCCCAAATGTGTCTCACGTCCTTTCTTAAAGTTCCATATTTATAACATATTATTAGCTTTTATTCCCTGTGGTTGATGCTGGAATATTCCCTGGCTGATATGTTTTCTGTTTATTTGGGAGACACTCTGGAGGAAAGGTCATGCTTCTCCTCTAATTCTAAAATCTGATGGATGATAAATTGGGGTAACAATCTCATATTAAGCCTTTCATTATTACGTAATATTCCCTCACCTATACAGTAATGGGCACTTGTAGAGGCTCCAAAATATCTACACAATCTTTGCTAATTCAGACAGATTTCTTAACCATATTCAAAACAGTAGGTCACAATCTCATCTTAACTGAGATTTTACAGAACCTCAAAGTCACACATAGTTAAAGCAAATACACGTTTTCTCCTATAAAAAGGATATAGAAACTGATGTTAAGAAACAATACTAGCAGAAACATGCATTTTAGTATTTATATTCCAAATCAAGTCCCAAGAGATGAGTCTTTTACCTTAGAGACAAACTTTCATCCCTAACATTCCTTTTGGTTTTTAATAGGCAGCTGATAACATATTTTTGAAAATTACCAGTATCATTAAGTCAGTCATTTTTACTATATAGTAGGATACTAACTATAGTATCCTAAGCAGTAGGACCAAGTAGATTATTCTTCATGCAGAAAGTGAACTAACAATGTCTGAACAACTGACCAACAACCATTTCTTCACTTAATGAGTAACCCAGCCATTCTGTCTCATCTTAATTTACTTCATGGGGCTGCTGTGAGGATAAAGTGCATGTAACAGTAAAAATGGACATATATTTGAATCATGAACTGAGACAGATTTTTACAATCAAAACAGCCATTCTATTCAGCCTAGACATTCTATGCATCTGATTAATTTTAAAACTTAAAATGTATCTGTCAGGAAAGATGTTATCAGATTTCTCCTGATTTTTTTATTTTTTTTTTGCCACCGTAGACTAACATAGTTATCTTCTGCAATTTTATGTACAGTTAAATGTGATGATGAATTCAGGTCTGACAAACCAAAAAGTAGTTCTCGGAGTGACCTACCGTGTGAGGGTTGTCATAGTAGATAGCGATAGAAGACAGCCTTGGAGAGACGCTGCAGCTCTCTGTAAAAAACCTTCCAGAGTCACCATAAGGCCCCACCTGGAATTTGTATGCCACAGTGATGTTGCCAATGGGGGGCAAACCAGCATTCACAATTACTTCTGTAAATAGTCCCGAATAAACAGCAAAGCCGAAGATCGTCAGCAACAGAAGCAGCACCAATGCCACAAACAATCCAATTAGAAGCCAGTCCGACATGGCTTCTGATGCATCCACTGTTCAGATTATCAACTAATGACAAGAGATGAGACCAAAGATTACTGAATGCAGATCCTTGTTGCTTTTCTGTATATGCTAGGACAGTGATGGCGAACCTTTTAGAGACCGAGTGCCCAAAAACTGGTTCCGCCCCCACTCTACCCCTGCTGTGCCCCAGCTCCGCCCCCCATCCCCTGCCCCGCCTGCCCGCAGGGACCCTCACCGCCTCCAAGGCCCGCCACAAATCACCCAGGCAGCCCAGCAGCGCTATGGCGGTCACGCCCTATGCCCGCGCCCTGCAGCATCAACTGTGCACAATGGGGTATGAGGGCAGAGTCTTGTCTACACTGCCTGGCTGCCATGTCCTTGGCTGCGCTGCTCCGCGTGGGCCATGCTCAGGGGCGACTCTCCTTCAGGGGGGCTGCTGGAGAGGAGGGGGTCACGGGGGGAGGCGAGGCTGGAGCAACGGCACATGTGCCCACAGAGAGGGCTCCGAGTGCCACCTGTGGCACCCGTGCCATAGGTTCGCCACCACTGTGCTAGGACTAACAGCGAAATAGAAGAGTTAGAAGGATTCCTTCTTTCCTTAGCTACAATTCACTGTATTCTTTATGAATCCTGCTTTGCTTATGAAGCCCTCTATGGAATGGGACTAAGATAGTTCCTCTTTCTAGATGTTTTATTTAACCCATCTGATCTGGCAGGAAGGATATGTTCCTGGTCTTGCCAATTAAAGAATGTCGTCTAGTGGGACCCAGGAAGATGCCTTCTCTGTTGCAGTATCTGTCTTTTGGAGCCTTATTCCACCCGTCCAAAATTAGATTGGACCAATCCTGCTGTCCTTTCTGAAGACTCTTAAGATTCCGCTCTTCTCACAAGCATGATGGTCAGAAGACAGAACTCATGAGGTCTTGCTACTTTGATGTGACAAAACTGTCAGTTTTTTGAGCAAGAAAATAATTAAAAGAATTACTAAACAATAGTAGAGAAATCTGTACTCTATTTACAGCAATACACTGCTTTTGTGTTGTTTGTGAACATTAACATCTGAATTAGTTTTCTGTTCATCTGTTTTGTCTATTTGACCAAGGGCAAGGAAGAAACTTTGAAATAATATGGTTGACATTTCTGGTATTGATCTGTTTATAACATAATTTTCCAAGACATTTTTTCTTTTTCTTTCTCTTTATTAACATAACATATTACTGGTTCTTTAATATGAAACTCATATGAAATTAACTCAATGAATTGTTTATTAGTATTATAGTACCCATTTATATTTTTCAACTGCCAAGCAGCCAAGAAAAAGAAATATTCCATTGAAAATAATGTCAAAATAATATCTTATTAGGAAAAAATATGGTTGGTGCCTTTCTTGTAGATTCGAGCACAAACAGCTTCCTCACATACATAATGAACTGAATATTTGTATCATATATTCCTAATTCTCAAAACCTTCGAGGTAAAGCTCAGAAATACTATAACATCAAAAACGTTACTTATAAGTATCAAGGCTTTGTTATAATTCCTAACATACTGATTTGGAATAGCTAATTGTTAACATAAATAAAGTTATCAAGTGTTGTTTAATTGTTGCATCACTGAGCCTTTAAATATGAAATTCTCTCTTGATTCAGCTCACCTCTATTCTTCCCATTTTACATCAGGAGTTGGAACTCCCATAAGCTTTTCTACCCCATTAGTGTACTATTGGGACAGGCAATACAATGCCCTCCAGATGTTTCTTAATTCATTATCTCCACCCAGTATTGCTAATAGGATTATAGGAATCGTCATTCAAAAGAGAACATTGCAATGCCAACTCTTGTAACTTCAATTTCAAAGAGCGAAACTACACATTAAATTGAAAAGATGTATGGAACCCAACATTAGTGTCATTTCTTTACCTACCAAGATTGTCATGAGGTGACAATCTGGATAGTCATAGCAGCATTGCAAGGGCGTAAGATGTCTAATTCAGACCCCACCAACTCAAATATGTATTGCAAATCACACCATTTTTCAACCTGCTTTTATCCCTGCAAGATTCCAAGTGTTATGTTTATAGTTTGGGGCACATAAGTGGAATCCTACAGAAAAGCAATTGGAGTGAGAGTTCAAAAAGAATTAAACATACCTGTTTCTTTCTCCAAACTTTCCTCTCCAAAGCAACTTTCCTGAAAAAAGAATGAAAAAATAGTTACATAAATTTGCAAAATTCTAAAGTAAGGGTTCTAAAATGGTAAAAAATGTGATTTACTTTGATTTATGTTACCCAGAATTCCAAATGCCAATTGAAATGTGTGTGCACTAAAAATGTATAAACTTAACACTGATTTCATTTCTTCAGATTAACAGATTGCCTAACTCACTGTACATTGTTTGAGAGCATTTACCAATCATTAAATTTGACAATCATTCCCCATTCCGATTAAATTATCAGCATATTTTGCAGGTACACAAGGGTTTTGCATCTACATGAAAACTGGCATGATTATCTGAGTGATTCACACAATTGTTGGACAAATCATGAATACAGAAAAATGCCTGGAAAAAAAAAATCCTGCATGTAATGAATCAGCTATTACCCAAAGGCCAAATAATTCATGAGGCAGCAATACACACATCTGATGGATGACACCATGAATGAACCTATCTTTAAAGTATGTCTTGATAAAGTTACCACTCAATATAGTTCTTGGGCTCAAGAGAGGCATCAATATGATATTGAATCTCAAAGCAATCAGGCATAATTGTGGCAAGATAGATGGCAAACAAATGTAATAAATAAATAAAATAATACATTATTTCTTGAAGCTGAGATTTATCCACTGTTTCATTCTTTTTTCAGAAATTTCATAATTTGAGACAGACACTTCTTCAATAAACATTTTGATCTTACCTGAAGAATAACACAAGATCTTCTGATTCAATATTTGCTTTCTGGAAAAAAAAACACAAATGTTTACTGAGGTAGCCTGATCTCATAATTTCAAATTTTGCATTAGAACATCAAGGCTCTATAATATTTCACTGTTGTAAGCAAAAGATTCAGTAAGAATGGAAATAGAGAAGTATTCTTCCTATAAATGAATCTCTTCCTGGGAGAATGGGAAGAGATCACGTATGCTCATTCAAAAATAGCTCAGGGAAGCAAATAATGAAAGAAGTATTGTAACAAAACACAAGACATGCTCCACCCTGTTTTGTTTGTGTATTGTGATATCACATGCACATAAAAAAGGGTGGAGCTTGCATTATGGAGCACAATGCTGCTTACATCATTTAGAATAGAATAGAGCTGGAAGGGACCTTGGAGGTCTTCTAGTCCATCCCCCTGCTCAAGCAGGAGAACCTATACCATCTCAGACAAGGGACTGTCTAACCCAGGAGTGTCAAACTGCCGGCCCATGGACCAGATACGTCATACTGAAACGGTGCCCACCCCATTGCCGGCAATGTAAAAAAAGTTGCAATACGTCGCGACACGTCACGTGACATTGCAAGTTTGACACCCCTGGTCTAGCCTCTTCTTAAAAATCTCCAGTGATGGAGCGCCCACGATTTCTGGAGGCAAGCTGTTTCACTGCTTAATTGTCCTCACTGTAGGGAAGTTTCTCCTTAATTCCAGGTTGCTTCTCTCTTTGATCAGTTTCCAACCATTGTTTCTTGCCCTGCCCTCTGGTGCTTTAGTGAATAATGTGACCCCCTCTTCTTTGTGGCAGCCCCTCAAATACTGAAATACTGCTATCATGTCTCCCCTATTTCTTCTTTTCTTTAGACTAGCCAAACCCAAGTCTCACAGCCATTCTTCATATGTTTTAGTCTCCAGGCCTTTGGTCATCTTAGTTGCTCTTCTCTGAATTTTTTCCAAACTCTCAACATCTTTTTTGTGATATGGTGACCAAAATTGGCTGCAGTATTCCAGATGTGGTCTTACTAGGGTTTTATAAAGCGGTACTAATATCTTGCGTGATCTTGATTCTATGCCTCTGTTTATACAACCCAGGTTTGTATTAGCTTTTTTGGCTGCTGCTGCACACTGCTGGCTCATAGTCAAGTGATCGTCCACTAGGACTCCAAGGTCCCTCTCACAGTTACTGTTTTTGAGCCAGGTTTGTATTTGTATCCAATCTGTACTTGTACCTTTGATTTTTTCTGCCTAAATGTAAAACTTTGCTTTTCTCCACATTGAAACTCATTGTGTTGGATAGAGCCCATTGTTCAAGTTTGTCAAGATCTTTTTGGATCCTGAGTTTGTCTTCTGGGGTGTTGGCTACTCCTGCCAGTTTGGCATCATCTGCAAATTTGATGAGTTCCCCTTCAATTCCCTCATCTAAGTCATTGATGAAGATATTGAAGAGTACTAGGCCTAAGACGGAACCTTGTGGTACCCCACTGCTTACTTCTCTCCATGTGGATGAAGTGCCATTGAGGACTACTGATTGAGTACCGTTTGCCAGCCAGCTACAGATCCATCAATTTTACTGAAGGAATTAGAACTTGTAGATTCCCCTGAATGGAATATGGTAGATTGTTATCAAGGACAGGCATACTGGCCATACCACCAGTACAGTCTTAATTGTATCTTTCAAGTAAAAACTACAACTTGGTAATGATAGGAACCTTCATCAGGAAGCAGCCCAGACCCAACAGAATTCTATTTGGTTTCCCAGTAAATTTGATTATTATTTATTTATGACACTTGTTATGCTATTCCATAACAGTTTCTGGCTAGCTTCTGCTTCCCCTCCATAAAAACCTACATAAAAATTTAGTCAAAGACTAAAGAACTTAAAAACATACGAAAATTCAACAAACAAATCTCAGTACACAGTATACAGGGGGGAAAAAACACTTTCCCTGGAAAGCCCTCTAGGACAGTGGTTCTCAACCTGTGGGTCGGGACCCCATTTGGGGTCGATCGACCATTTCACGGGGGTCGCCAAGCAAGGCTGTCCGCCATTTTTTTGTCCGCCATTTTTTTTGTCCGCCATTTTTTTCCCCTTTTCCGGCGGGTGCCTTACCTCCCTTGGGCTGGGCCAGCTGGTGGTCGGCCTGCTCCATCTCTACCGCT